CTCTGTGTGCCTCTCTTTAACCCTCTACCTCGTGTGGCACTTTGTTTTTGTTCATGAGAATATCAATTTTAAAATGTCGGGAATAAATAAAATCTGTATGGGGAGATATCCTTGTCTAGATTCTGAAGAGTAGTGAAGAGTTCTACACCAAATATGACAGAAGTACTCCATTTTGTGTCTAACATGACCGTTTTTAGGCAAACGTATTTGTTGACAAAGACCAGGAATCAGTTTATGGAACTGGATACATCATAAGACTTTGACAAACATATAAAATAAGACAGTATTTTTACTATGAAGAGTTATTATTTATAGAAGGAAAAATAATTTAACATTTATAAGACAAAATAATTTCTGACAAAATAGTTTATTCTATTCTCAAAAGATCAATTAAGTGGCTCCTTTAGTAGAGTTTCAGACAGAGCTAGACGTATTTCTACTGATACAGAATGTATCAGTGTTACTTGAATCACGTACGAAACTCACAATTTCTACGACTCTAAAACACTGTTGTAAGATTCTGAGCCCATTGTCTCTTGAGACAATCCTGAAGCTAGAATTTGGAACCTTATAGACTAATGTATTTCTTTGCTTCATTGCCGCTGTAGTCCTTTATCAAGTTTCTTTATCTTCGGCTTTATTCCCATATTGTTCCTTGGCTTGTGGGCACTTTCCCGGTGTTATTTAAAGGTAATTCTGGTGCATGAGGTTATTTCTTTAAATATATATATATATATATATATATATATATACATACACATATATATATATAAGAACATAGCCGCTGCCGTATCCCGTACAGAGAAAAAAACATTAAAATTCCTTCCTTTCCGCCGTGAAACGATGGCGTAGATGTAAGATATCGGACGGGTTTCGATATCGGCCCGAAGCAATCAGATTTCTAGCCACGGTAACAACAGCGAAACAGCCTGTCTCTGTCTGTGGATGACATATATATATATATATATATATATATATATATTAGAGTAGGTTGATTTTTCAGATTTTTGTAAAATATCAAAAAGAATAAGGTACCCAAAGTTGTATATAGACCTATTAAGTACTGATATAAAAAATTAGATCTGACACTTCAACGGTTTTTGAGCTTTTGACATTAAAGATCTTGGACAAAATGCATTGAAAAATCCTCGATTTTGCAAGATTTTATATTGATGTGAAAACCAAAAATGTCAGTAATTAAACGAGGGGATTTTGTTACTTTATATCAAAAGGAAATAAAATGAAGAAATTATAGCTGAACTTCAAATTGAAAATCTGCCCCCACCCCCCATTATCATTGACGAATTCGATTTTTTTTACCTCATGAATTAAGCAGTAATAGTTGAATATATTATATCATGAATTTAGCATATATTAAAAAAAATGACGTTTTTCTATTATGAATGAAGATACAACAAACAAACATATGGAAAAGCAAATAAGTTTCATAGGGTTAATATATAGTTACATAGTTCCATATAAGAGCCTTTAGACGAAAATGATGAGCTAAATTTCTGACATAAACCTTTGCTATTATATGCTAGTGCCTTGCTTCAAAGCCATACACAAATTGGGAAGCTTCCGTTCCTAACTTAACTGCCCGTTTCACGCCTTGAGAATGTGAGGGCAAATCTGGGAAGTCCAGTTTCGTACCATTTAATAATGATTCCCGAAGTACATTTTCAGAAGATTCATCTGTGAGTGGTACTTCACAAACTCCACTTAATGAGAGATCTATTAACTGTGTCCATCACCTAGCTTTAAAATTGATAGTTGTCATTCTTTTTAATTTTTTCTTGGTTGGCTCCCCACTCCTGAAAGAATATAAAAATTAATTTGAGTTTTTTTAAAAGACAAAAAAAAAACAAACAAAACAAATGCATTCACTACTGCTTTAATATTTATGGTGAAATTAGATAAAATCCTTAAAATTATTAAAAAAATCGGCATAAGTAATTTAGTCAGTTTGATATGTATAAATATTTATTTAACCTAATCGCGAAATTTTTTTTTATAGATTCTTCTCTGACTTCCAGTTCATCAGATTTGACCATTGATTGTATGATATTTTCAGGAAGTAAGGCGAAAGCATTCTCTGTATATTTTTCAATGTGATCTGTTGGATTTTATATGGTTGCTTCCCAATCCTTTGGATCATAGTGAAAATATACATTTACTGATTGTGGAACTTATTTCTTTTAATTTCGAACCGACAAATGGCATATAAATTCACAATAAAATTTATTAAACAGTGGAGATGGGTTGAAAGATTTCGTGGGTATGCACCACAAGTCCATAAACACATCAAAATGAATGCTAAAGTTAACCACCTTACCTAGCTTAATGGTCCAATTTTCCATTATACAAATCTAGAGTGCACCTTACCTCTAGAAATACCCACTGTATATTCATAAAGGACTCTTTGGTCACAACTAAGGATATCTGTATTTTCAATTTTAAAAATGGTCCAGAGGACTACCAACAGCTGAAAATGGTATTTGGGGTAAATTATGGTAATCATTTGCACATAATTTACCCAGTGAACCATTGGATTTGGTAAAGCTTTTTGTGGTACCATCTACACGTTTAAAAAGAGCTTTAAACGGACGTTTATTTTGGTGCAAGGAGCAACCAATAGTGTGAAGATTTGTTAGGTTTTCTTTCTAGAAGTACAAGAAATCCACATTCACAGCCTGTGTTAGCATTAGTGTTGTCAACAACGATAGCTTTGATAGTGTTAAATTCATGCAAAACATCAGCCACTTGTTCGGCAAGAACAGCACCACTTGCAACTATATTAGGAAGAACCCTACGTGTCGGATATTCACTTTTATATGTCATATTTGGGGCTGACAAGTGGCGTTCTGGTCCCTTGTTTTTGTTTTGTTTTTTGGTTTGTTTTTTTTTTTTTTTTCAGACTTCTTTCCATTTACCTCCATTATGTCCTTGTACATTAATGTGTCTTTGTCAGTTCTCCCATCAACTCCAATACAAAGATTTTCCACGTTTTCTTCATGCTGTTGATGGACATTTGCTTTCACTTTAGCCTTTGCTCTATCAATTTTACATTTATCTATATAGATATCTTTTATATTAATATTGGGGATGAGAAGGCTCATAGCTTCAAATCCAAGAGCAATGCATTGGCAAGGCTGTTTCCAATATTGGAAGGTTGAATTTTGATAAGGCTATAAGGCCTTTGGGATGTTTTTTCCTGACATTTTTATTAAAATATCTGAAAAAGAAAATATATGGATTATAAGAAATTACACAAAAATATTTTTCAAAATAAATTGGAAAATAAAGTTCGAAATATATTATTAAAATAAAAAAGTAGTGTTTACTTACCTAAAAGTAGAGTTAGTTCCGAGATTAGCTCGTAAACAACCTTTTTAATAAAACACTAACTTGGAAAATATAAACAAATTAGAATGATTATAAAAGTTGTATTTTTTTTTTTTTAAATAGTTAAGTATATTTTGATGAAAAACACAATGGATATGTGTGCTAGTTAAAAGCGTAAACAGTAAACAAAAGAAAAACGAACTTGCAAGGACGTTAATTACTATCGGTAAATAGCGAAGTAATATTCAGTAAAAAAGACCGACGTTCATAAGTAGTTATTGGTATTTTAAACTAATTATTTAAGTGTGTCATTCTGTTTCATGCTAGACGCAATGGTCAGACGGCCTGACGATTGCGTCTAGCATGAATCAGCAGCCTGTCGCCTCTGAGTGTAGACTTCAATGTTCACTTTTATATTTACGTTCTCTCTCTCTCTGATATTGAGCACTTCATCCCATAAATATACCACAACTTAAAACTATATTGTTTCATATATACATATATATGTGTGTGTGGGTGTGCATTCTAGGCCTTACACGAATCTTTTTATTGGCTAGTGCTCTTCTCTCTCTCCAGTGCTCTTCTCTCTCTCTCTCCAGTACTCTTCTCTCTCTCTCTCCAGTACTCTTCTCTCTCTCTCTCTCTCCAGTACTCTTCTCTCTCTCTCGCTCTCCAGTACTCTTCTCTCTCTCTCTCTCCAGTCTCTTCTCTCTCTCTCTCAGTACTCTTCTCTCTCTCTCCAGTACTCTTCTCTCTCTCTCTCAGTCTCTCTTCTCTCTCTCTCTCTCTCCAGTACTCTTCTCTCTCTCTCTCTCTCAGTACTCTTCTCTCTCTCTCTCTCTCTCTCTCAGTACTCTTCTCTCTCTCTCTCTCTCTCTCTCTCTCTCTCTCAGTACTCTTCTCTCTCTCTCTCTCTCAGTGCTCTTCTCTCTCTCTCTCTCTCAGTCTCTTCTCTCTCTCTCTCTCAGTCTCTCTCTTCTCTCTCTCTCTCTCTCAGTCTGTTGCTCTTCTCTCTCTCTCTCTCTCTCAGTGCTCTTCTCTCTCTTCTCTCTCTCTCTCTCTCTCTCTTCTCTGCTCTTCTCTCTCTCTCTCTCTCTCTCTCTGGTGCTCTTCTCTCTCTCTCTCTCTCTCTCTCTCTCTCAGTACTTCTCTCTCTCTCTCTCTCTCTCTCTCTCTCTCTCTCTGATGCTCTTCTCTCTCTCTCTCTCTCTCCAGTTCTCTCTGCTCTTCTCTCTCTCTCTCTCTCTCTCTCTCTCTCTTTCTGCTCTTCTCTCTCTCTCTCTCTCTCTCTCTACTTGATGCTCTTCTCTCTCTCTCTCTCTCTCCCTTCTCTCTCTCTCTCTCTCTCTCTCTCTCTCTCCTCTCTCTCTCTTCTCTCTCTCTCTCTCTCTCTCAGTGCTTTCTCTTCTCTCTCTCTCTCTCAGTTCTTCTCTCTCTCTCTCTCTCTCTTTTTCTCTCTCTCTCTCTCTCTCAGTCTTGATGCTCTTCTCTCTCTCTCTCTCTCTCTTCTCTCTCTGCTCTCTCTCTCTCTCTCTCTCTCTCTCTCAGTCTTGTGCTCTTCTCTCTCTCTCTCTCTCTCTCTCTCTCTCTCTCTCTGATCTCTTCTCTCTCTCTCTCTCTCTCTCTTCTCTCTCTCTCTCTCTCTCCAGTACTTGATGCTTCTCTCTCTCTCTCTCTCTCAGTGCTTGATGCTCTCTCTCTCTCTCTCTCTCCAGTCTCTGCTCTCTTCTCTCTCTCTCTCTCTCTCAGTCTTGATGCTCTTCTCTCTCTCTCTCTCTCTCTCCAGTACTTGATGCTCTTCTCTCTCTCTCTCTCTCTCCAGTACTTGATGCTCTTCTCTCTCTCTCTCTCTCTCTCTCTTGATGCTCTTCTCTCTCTCTCTCTCTCTCAGTCTTGATGCTCTTCTCTCTCTCTCTCTCTCTCTCTCTATGCTTGATGCTCTTCTCTCTCTCTCTCTCTCTCTCCAGTACTTGATGCTCTTCTCTCTCTCTCTCTCTCTCTCTCCAGTACTTGATGCTCTTCTCTCTCTCTCTCTCTCTCTCTCTCTCAGTACTTGATGCTCTTCTCTCTCTCTCTCTCTCTCCAGTACTTGATGCTCTTCTCTCTCTCTCTCTCTCTCTCTCCAGTACTTGATGCTCTCTCTCTCTCTCTCTCCCCCCCCAGTACTTGGTGCGAGTTTAGGAACCCATGAATGGAACAAGTTCAACTATATATGACCCCTTGTATTGCTTCTGAGAAAAAAAAAAACCATCGGTGGGCCGCCCTCAAACGCCAATAAAAATAAGATGAGATAGTCCGAGACCTGGAAAAACAAACTTGTAAAATCAAAGCTTAAATAAATTGTATAATTCTTAATTATTCTAAGAGTATACTTATAGGCAAACATCTGAAGAAGGTTAGAGAGCACAACGATTAAAACTTTGTGAAAGTAACAACGTTGGGCATATTAATCAGTTCAAATCCTACCAATTTACCTGGGATTTTTTCATTCATACGCCGGATCCGGAAGTTATTTTATATTCGGATGATCAGTTAATGATGTAAAGTAGAAGTGATTTTTTTTTAATAGATAGAATTTTAGTTTACCGATTTACTCGTCGCACAGTAGTGTATTGACATATTCATTCCTAGAATCTTTAGAATAAGGTTACTGTCAGCGTCGATCGATCATTATCAGAAGTTATGGATTGATTAAAAAGGTTAAAATGAATAATCGATTTCAACTAAGAAACGGAATTCAACTATACTTTACCATGTCTCGATACCATGTTAATACGCGCATATAAAGATATAAAAATAAATACTTATCGATAATCTGCTAATAATAACGACCTTATGCAATTCTACTTTCAAAACAATAAAATAAACCTAGAATATTCACTTCAGAGCCTTTACAATCTGGAGCTAATAATTCCTGCTTGGAAATATATTTAAACTCCTTCAATACTCGAATTATTTCCTTTAAAATGCCAAACGTAAAGTGTATAAAATTCACAGAAGAAAAATAGAAGAATCCGCAAAAATACACATTCTAACATGGGGGAAAGATACATTTTCTTAATGTCTCGAAAGCGCAGGACGATAGACATAACACAGAAGTTAAAAAATGGGTGGCTATTTCAAATAAGAAATACCTACCATAACATTTGAAGTTATATATGAAAAATCAGGGTGTATCATATATACTTTTTACAAACTTTGGGGTTCTGGTTCCTCATACCAAAACAAGGACAAAAGTCAGTATAAACGTATGTCTGCAATTCCTTTATTTTTGAGTTACTAATTTTAAAGTAATTTTACGGTAGATGGCACTGTGTTGCTATTGAAACTAGGTTACTTTTGTCATTGGTGTACATATGTGACGAGCCTGTCGTCAACTTTTAACGGATGTAGTAGTGAGTTAACTGACAAGTTTTCGGTTTAATGAAGGCAGGATATTCATATTTTGAGCGGGCAGATATGATCTTTACATACGGCCGCGCGATGAGGAACTGAAACGAGACTGTACGACTGTATCAGATTGTGTTTACAGATCGAAGGCAGCGGAGTCATCCAGTTGTTTGGTGTTTGCCTCTTTATCGTTGCGTTACCAAGTCAGGATCCATCACAAATTATTGGTCTAGGAAGACAGAGATGCCTTCGTACACCTGACCACGAAAAACACATTCTACAGCCTGAGACGATCCAGGTATCAATACCCGTCAATTAGCCCTAGTACATCTCATAATAGTGAATAGAGTGTACGGCAACAGCAGCTACTGTATCCGTATCATTTGCAACGGGTGCAGTGTCTTTCGCTCACTCACCACGGGAGAAATTTTGCAGATGGTTTATTGCACAAACTTCCGACTCGTTGTTTGTCTCTTCCGTCATCTTTACGGATGAGGCAACATTCAGGAGAGATGGAATAACAAATTTCCACAACCAACATTTGATAGGTATCCCTATGGTATAATACATGCTAGACACCAGAATTAGTTTACGATGAAAGTGTGGGCTGGAATTATAGATAACTGTCTGGTAGGTCCATACGTTCTCCCAGCACGTCTTACAGGTGCAGTCTACAGTGAATTTATTTCGAAAAGAATTTCCAGAACTGTTAGAGGATGTATCTAACTAATACGAATACGTATATGTTTCATGCATTTAGTCACTTTTTTCGAGAATCTTTAACTGATATTTACCATGAAAGATGGATAGTTAGCGGGAGGACCAATTACGTAGCCTGCACGATCCCCCCGACCTCAATTCTTTGGATTTTATATCTGAGGATCTACCTAAAACATTTGGTTTATGCAGCAGACATAAATAATGCAGAGACGGTTCATCGATGTGTCAATGGGGCCTGCGAAACCATTTGACACTGTGTGACAGTATTTGAAAAGGTTCGCCAGCCAATTATCTGACGGGTACATGCGTGTGTAGAAGGAAGCAATCTTCTTTTTTTTTTTTAAACATAATATTAGTCATCCTTTGGAACGTTTAGTTTTAACTGATGCCATTCGAAAGTAACATTTTTTTTATATTGATTTGTGACTTTTATCATCAGATGCGTATGGTAAAGTTGACTGTCACACGAAATGAGAAATCATTCGAATTCTAGTTTTGATCATGACATCTACTTACCAACAGATATCCTCAGGGAAGGCATGAATCAATTTCCCTGCGTCAAATAAATAGGTCTCTTATTTGAAAAGAAATTATTATTCGAAAAATATTAAGGCAATATTCACGCACAAACGATAAAAATCCGTGTGTATCAGATTTTCAAACATTCTTTTTTTTTTATTATGTGCCGTATAACTGTGTTTTTCTGATATTAACTATGTTTTTCCATTTTTCATGTTCACAATATCGGGCTACGGTATCCTCAGCATCCTTCTGTAGAATTTTATCTTTTTTATTTTTTTTTTTATTTTTTTTATTTTTTTTTTTTGCTTTTCCAAACATTTCAGCAGAATATTGTCTTGGGTACCACAATAACTGTAAAAAGAAACAAAAAAACACCGACCTGGGATTGGAATGATATATTCTATAAAATCCTTTTTTGGAAAGGGAAATATTGTTTGGATCTAGAACACCTGCAAAAAGTGTGTGTGACAGATTAGGTCACGGAACTGGAGTATTTTTCCTTCGGTTAAACTATGATATTACTTGATTACGAAGTTAAAATTATAGCCATTTTGTGCTTTTTTTCTTGCATGATATATACCGTAAATATAGGAAAAACGGATTAATGTTCAAGAAATGTTTTCAGGTATAATACGATACGAATCACCTGTTGCAGTATTTTTTTAAAGATAAATGTTTCAGAAAGAAAACAGTTATAAACTAGCATGACAAAATTCAACGATGATAATAGGGAATGGTAAGTACGTTTTCAGATATCCCAAACTGTAATGTATTTAAACCGAATGTATTGCTTGCGTTATCTCATATGGTAATCGTGATATGTACCGGTTCTTTATATGGAAAAACAATACAGTGTTTGATAGTTCGCGATACGGTCGACTGAAAATTATAAAATAGTCTTAAAAGAATTTGCATTTTATAGTTCTATGCCTAGTCAAATACGAATAAGTTATAAATGACAAACTTTTATCTTTACACCATTTGTATATTTAATCATTTGTGCTATTCGTGAGCCAAACACTGATCAGAAAATACATGTCGGAATAATGTTCTTACATTTGACATTAATGTTCTTGGCGTCAATTTTGTATTCTCAACTATCATTGAAATCTTTGTTTTCCAGGATAAGTCTTATTGCCATATCCAGGGAAACATTAATGGAAAAAATATTATATATAAAGCAATAATTTTGCTAAAACTTTAGTGTTAACTGCATACACCCTTTGTGACAAGAGATTTAACAGAGGGAGACTAAAGCGACACATATCTAAACATGGATTCCGATACAAAGAAAAGTGCTTTAGTGCTGTCTCATATCCATCCGGCTATATGAGAGTGAATGTTGGAGAAGCAGCAAGGATTTATTAAAGAGACTGGCACTTTTACTCAGAATCAGTAAAAGATATTTAAAATAACCTTTCACAACGTATGAGAAAGGAGAGATAAAAACACTTACTCTCAATATGTCCAGTGAGGATTAAGAGTGAGCCGGAAGACAGTGAACCACATATCTCTTATAGTTTTATAAATGGATAACGGAAAACGGGGCATGGATTAAAAAGAGAAGGAAAATTGCAACGATCCAGAATAATAGGAAGTTGTAGAATGCCATACTCATATCTTGAAAGGAAGAGGAAAACAGAGGAATCGCATGCAAGGATTTTAATTTTGATATGAAAATCGATGAGTAAATATCAGTTTTTGGTCTCTTTTTCATTCCTCCGTATAGATGTCCGAATTTTTACATTACGAATCTAAATATCTAAATAGTTGATGTGATATTCTCAAAGAATTACAAATGTACAGGGTATGATGGATAAATTGTCGTTTAAATTATGCAAAAATGAAAAAAAAACTGATATCTCATTTTAACAATTATATTTACCAAAATTAATCAAACATATTTTTCAATAGAAAAGAGTAGATTTATTGAATAAAATCGCCATGGGCTTCAACTTGGGAAACAATACCTCGGAATCTCCTGTATACCTTTTGGACGGTCTCATTGTTTAAGTTGGTGAATACTGTAATAATATTAGCTTTCAGTTCCTCTTTGGTGTTATAAGGAGTTTTGTTGGTTTCTCACTCAACTGTACCCCTACATATAATAATAAATATGTTTTGCAGTCTGAGGAGTTAGGTGGCCAGATGTATAAGGGATATGTAAGAGCTGAATTTGTCTGACAGCCATAACTGGGTTTTCCTGGTTGGGTCGCGTGGTACAGTCATGTTTACAGTCATGTCATGTTTTTCAGGAGAGACCCTTTTGACTCGGGCAGCACTACATTCTTAAGTCACTTAATGTATGCTTCAGTGTTCAGTTTGAGGCTCTGTAGGAAGTTACATGGAGGCATAATGTCGCCATCACTAGTGATTATTCCAAACGACTTCGCAAACAGCATTAGCCTAATGCAACTCGTTCCGAATCCCCTGCGTTGTTCTCAGATTGCCATCCAAAGAATCTGTATTGAAGCTTCGAGCGCAAATGCCAAGCAGGACAGAATGCCGTTTCCAAATTGCGTTATTGTGCTCCTTTTCTCACAGACAGTGCCCAACTGACCCTATTATAGTAAGCACTCGACAAAATCAAAAACAATCAAATCGCGTGCGCGAAATTAAAAAATAAAAAAATGGCGACGTTTTAGCCATCGTACTCTGTACATCAAGGTTAAGATATACCAAAAATGCCCTTAATCAAGATTTGTCTCTAAATCTCGAAACATTGAAATGTGAAAGTTTAGGCACTGTAAGTGTGTGACACGCAGACATCCACCATCCAAATTAGAGAGAATAGTCATTAAAGCTTTGTATGTAGTACATGGTATATATTAAACGTTAGAATACAGACGCTGATGTCGGAGTGAACAGTTGTGTCCTATTTTCATTGCAAAAAAATGCGACGTGTCTTCAATGTTTTATTTTAATTTTCTGTTTATTTTTCTTTTATATTATAATTTTGTTGTACTATACATTTACAATATTTAATTATGAATGTTAATATTTTTTTTCTAAGATAAGTCAAGGTATAAATCGATTTTTTTATTATTTTTAAAATACGTGTTTTAGTTTTAGCAAGTTTACTTTAACAAGAATCTATTTTACTCGAGATTATATTAGGAACATTTTATGTACTGTATTGGCATAAATAATTCTACGCCTATATTTGAGCATATAATTTTTCTTTTAATGAAAGAGGACGTGAAATTCGAAATTGTAAAATATTTATTTCGAGTCGGAATGTTTTGTTTATCTCTACTTATTGGTTCAGTATCGTCGAATTCTTTCAAATATTTTAACAATTCGTCGAAATTTCATTTAAGCTTTCTTTATTGAATGAAGAAATGTTTTAACTATTGGCCAATTTCTTATAAAGTATTTAGTAACATCAATAAGGTTCTCAAATATTTAATGATAACGGTATACATTTAAAATTTCCTTATTTATCAATTGGTTTCTATTGTCATAAATGATACTTTTGATAAGACACTGTTCTCTCCGACATCACGTGTAAGATAGATATGGTCGTTCATTGCCATCTTACAGTGATCCCAAGAGCGAAGTCGTCTGGATTTCCGACTTTGGTAGGACCACCCATGGCAGTAGTGTCGACGTGAAGATACTTGGCTGAACATGACCAACACACCAGAAGAACCCAACGGCGTAATAGGCAATGATTTACACGATTTCAACTTTGAAACGGGCGGCAAAGGTGAGTGCCAGTTGCGCTAGCTTAATCAAGGCGGATCTTGACACCACTTGTTTCAATTCCCTTCGAGCGGCGAGAAAAAACAATTCTGGCTAAGTGTGTGGGCTCCCTAGAGGTCCACCAAAATAAGCTTTACGCGAATGGCCTCGTCAAAATATGTTACTTCGTTTTCTACCACTCGTCAACTGTTCAGTAGAAACCTGGACTTTCACTACCATCCCCTTCACAGCCACATTGGGAAGAGAAAGTGCATAAGAGAGGATGACTATCGCGATGCCCTGATGGGAGCAGCTGCCAACAATTAAATGTTAACACCAGATTTTTCAGGAAAAGTACAGGACAAAATATCAATTTAGTGGATGCATTACTTGGCCAAATAAGATATCGAAATCCTGCACTTGTGATTCGATCTTTAGGATAATATATTCACCATCTTTCTATCTCTTGCTATATTTGCGTGTTGAAACAAATATTTATATAAGGTTCCATTTATATATATATATATATATATATATATATATATTTAAACAAACTTCATTTCCTAATATGTTATAATTTTAATCATGTCAGTTTTGGGTTTAACAAAAAAAATGCATGTCATTAACTTAAACAAAATAGTGACGTGCCTCCTATTTAATATACATGCTACTCACTTAGGTTTGTAAAAGAAAGAGGTGATATAATGCGCAATTTCTTATGGTTGCTCGTGTACTTCTGATGCTACTAAAACAGAAATTCTCAAAGGCGTGAATTTGAAGATTAGAAATGATGACGTACAGTGGGAAGAAAACTGCTGCTATGTAAATTTCTGAAAAGTAGACGAACCTGTCTCAAGATAATGGACATAGCCGGAAGCAGTATGTTTCTAGACCGATGTAATTGCTTTATGCAAGAATAATACATTCTCTTGCAATATCTGCTCGCTTAAAAAAAAAATCGAGTAGATGATGACAGCATCAAGGTGGATATGTTTGTATGGAGAGATTGAACAGTATAGGTATGCATGAATATACGAAGAGCGAATTCATTATATCAGTATATTATATTTGCTAACTTGTTTGAATCGATTTCTTTTAAGAGATTTTCGTAATTCTGTAACAAGCGTAGGCGCTTATATATATATATATATAAAAATGTGTGTGTAATGAGAGAATACCATAGAATTATATAAAGATAGGAAAACGTAGCTGACGCATTTCGTCATTTGATACACTTTTTCAAGGTAAGTGTAAGTATTTTATTTGGTGAGAATCGAGGAAGTTGCGAATAAAATTATAACATGGCATATATTTATCATGTGTCCGTGCCTCTCCCTCTCGCACTCATGTCTTTCATATATATATATATATATATATATATGTGTGTGTGTGCGTGTATTTGTAAGTGTTACAATCTTTTTCGTGACTGCGTGTACCTCTCTCTCTCTTTTCGTGACTGCGTGTATCTCTCTCTCTCTTTTCGGGACTGCGTGTACCTCTCTCTCTCTTTTCGGGACTGCGTGTACCTCTCTCTCTCTCTTTTCGGGACTGCGTGTACCTCTCTCTCTCTCTTTTTCCTGACTCCGTGTACCTCTCTCTCTCTCTCTCTCTCTCTTTTCGTGCTCCGTGTACCTCTCTCTCTTTTTTTCGTGACTCCGTGTACCTCTCTCTCTCTTTTTCCCTGACTCCATGTACCTCTCTCTCTCTCTTTTCCTGACTCCGTGTACCTCTCTCTCTCTTTTCCTGACTCCACGTACCTCTCTCTCTTTTCCCCTCCGTGTACTCTCTCTCTTTTTTCCTGACTCCCTCTCTCTCTCTTTTTCCTCTCTCTCTCTCTCTTTTTCCTGACCTCCTCTCTCTCTTTCCTCTCTCTGTACCTCTCTCTCTCTTTTTTCCTGACTCCGTGTACCTCTCTCTCTCTTTTCCTCTCCGTGTACCTCTCTCTCTCTCTCTTTTTCGACTCCGTTTACCTCTCTCTCTCTTTTTCCTGACTCCGTGTACCTCTCTCTCTCTTTTTCCTGACTCCGTGTACCTCTCTCTCTCTTTTTCCTGACTCCGTGTACCTCTCTCTCTCTCTTTTTCCTGACTCCGTGTACCTCTCTCTCTCTCTCTTTTTCCTGACTCCGTGTACCTCTCTCTCTCTCTCTTTTTCCTGACTCCGTGTACCTCTCTCTCTCTCTCTTTTTCCTGACTCCGTGTACCTCTCTCTCTCTCTTTCCTCTTTTTCCTGACTCTTTTCCTGACTCCTCTCTCTCTCTCTCTTTTCCTGACTCCGTGTACCTCTCTCTCTCTCTCTTTTCCTGACTCCGTGTACCTCTCTCTCTCTCTCTTTCCTGACTCCGTCTCTCTCTCTCTCTTTTCCTGACTCCGTGTACCTCTCTCTCTCTCTCTCTTTTTCCTGACTCCGTGTACCTCTCTCTCTCTCTCTCTCTTTTTCCTGACTCCGTGTACCTCTCTCTCTCTCTCTCTTTTTCCTGACTCCAGTGTTTCCTCTCTCTCTCTCTCTTTTTCCTGACTCCGTGTACCTCTCTCTCTCTCTCCTCTCTCTCTCTCTCTCTCTCTTTCCTACTCCGTGTACCTCTCTCTCTCTCTCTTTTCCTGACTCCAGTGTTGACTCCGTGTGTCTCCGTCTCTCTCTCTCTCTCTTTCCTGACTCTCTCTCTCTTTTTCTCTCTCTCTCTCTCTCTCTTTTTCCTGACTCCGTTTCCTCTCTCTCTTTTTCCTGACTTTCCTGACTCTCTCTTTTTGACTCTCTCTCTCTCTCTTTTTCCTGACTCCGTGTGGCTCCTCTCTCTCTCTCTTTTTCCTGACTCCGTGTACCTCTCTCTCTCTCTCTCTCTTTTCCTCTCTCCGTGTCTTTTTCCTCTCTCTCTCTCTCTTTTCCTGACTCCGTGTACCTCTCTCTTTTCCTCTCTACTCTCTCTTTTTCCTGACTCCGTGTACCTCTCTCTCTCTCTTCTCCTTTTCCTGACTCCGTGTACCTCTCTCTTTCCTCTCTCTGTTTTCCTGACTCCGTGTACCTCTCTCTCTCTCTCTCTCTTTTCCTGACTCCGTGTACCTCTCTACGAAATAACAGAAAATATCTAGTAGCAATGCGTTTCTTTCCCTGATTTACTTGATAAATTTCGTCAACGAACAAAACTCGTTCATATAAAAGCTTTCCTTATTGTAAAATACTGAATTTATACAGGCTATGTCAAATATGGATTGTATTTTTCCCAAGTTTTGAACAGCGTTATAGATCCGAATGACAATTCATATTTTTCTTGTTTTTATTCGACAGTTTCAGTCATTATGAAGAATTGGTTGTTCATACTCTCAGATCTTTCAGCTCTATCCAGGTTTCATAAAGGATATATTTCGGATCCATATGAATTCTCATAAATCATAAATGTGTAGAAAGATTTTACTGTTTGACAGTGGCAGAAATGAATTATGACGTATTCTACGCGAATTTTTGCTTCCATCTAAATTTATGGGTTGAGGATTTCTCCATATCTACATCTATGAAGTTATTGTCTTCATCCTCGGCCCATGATCAGTTGTTTGACGATTTTCAAATAGAACACTTTATTCAATCTGTAGGTTAGATTTGTTGCAGTTTTTTTTGTGTATCATGTACTAGTGAGCTATCCCAGATGACTTGACTCGCTTCATATTGCACCAATAAAAGGTTAACCAATCAGAAGATGTAAAATATTCAATCCGTCGTGTATAAAGGCGGCCATTTTGTTTACTCTCTCCGAATGCCCAGTGCCAACTTGTCAGGCAAAGAAGAACAGAAGGAAGAACTACTGAACTACGCTCTGCTACTTTACCGGGATATCCACTGCTAACCGGAACGACGCTTCCCTACTGTCTTCAAAATATTCACTGCTAACCTCTGGATTCTATACTCAAAGACGACCGTCATCATGAACAACACGATTGTCCTCTTTCTGCTGTCCATAAACAATCATCCTCAGTGGAACGAGGGTGAGCAATAACTCAGCATGTCTTAAATGAAAAAGACGATATTTCTTTAAAGATCTTTATGTAGGTTATTCGATGTTTTCCCCTTTATTGTTTTACTTTGCAGTTTTTCTTTAATGTTTTGCTTTTCTTTCAGACTTTCACTAACCCATTCTGTTTTTGTCGTTTTAACTTCGCCTTACTTTGGGTGTAAATATATTTTTGTTTTGTCTGTAATACGTATTCATACTGCACCAAATATTGCTATCTTTGTACAAACTTGGAATCGTTAAAGGTGATGGATATATATTTCATAACTGTTAAGATATGTTTTGTAGATATTTTTTGCTTAACCGAAATAGCCAACTTTTCTCATATCTTAGAGAATCGACTGAAGCATGCACTGTAAACAACCGACCGTGAAAGAGAAGCACAAAGAACTTACTTGGGGTTTACTTCCCTTCCGCTTTACTGCCTTTTACCTCCACGCTTGAACTTGTATCAAATATTTTGCTAATATAACTCCAGAACCGGTTCTATTTATAACATGGCCTCAAACCTGCCCAATGCTAGCGACATTAATGAAGAGAAAATCAATTAAGCGCATCAGAACGCTGACAACTTGCAGGCAAATGCGGAATATTAATATTTTGTAGCCTGTTTTGCAATTATATTCTCTTTATTTCGCATGGTATAGTTTGGAGATAATACTTCTTGTATGAACACGATGTAAGAAATAGGATAATTGTGAACATTGACTTTAGGTGCTCCTGATCGCAGTCGAATATTTGGAGCCATTTCATAATGTTCCGTCTGAATCTAAAATAGGTTAAAATATTTTTTTATATAACTTATGTAAGACTTAAAAACTTACGAATCTAGAGAGGAACACTTATTCCCGATTCTTTTTTTTTTTTTTTTTAAAGCATTTATTCCTAAGTAAGGCAGGAGTGCCACTAGCACGTAAGGGTGAGAGAGAGAGAGAGTGGAGCAAAAAGAAAAAGGCGTGATAGTGGAAAGGATGAAGAGAAGGAAAAGAATAGATCAAAGCACCTGGTGATGTTGATTGACATTGCATTAAAATTTTTGGAAATCATAGCTATCAGGGAAGCAAGTAAGAGGAAGGGAGTTCCACAGACGGGAAGTGCGAGACATGAAGCTATTGGAGTAGAAGAGACGGCTACAGTTAACAGTTTCGACAGTGAAAGGGTGAGACTGAGATGCCAACCTAGTAACACGCTTAAATTCATGGGGTTTGGGAACTAGCGAAAATAGCTCGTCAGGGAAGTTAGCAGATCAGGGCCAATCACATTGCACATCCGACTTTGGATTTTCTTACAATTATGGTAAAATTGTGTTTATCGAATAATATTCGGTTTATTTAATTAGCATTAAAGAAAATGCATTGTCAAAAAGGAAGATTATTACTTGAAAAACTGTTGTCTATATTTCTGATATGAGGTACTGTAATTATTTGCACTATTTAGTTTTCTGACTATTGTCCTCGTCTTTGTTGTCATATTCACGACGTTTACGCCATTGTACGCTCTGGTCATCTTCAGGTGTTTGAAAATTTGAACCGAACCCTTTATTTCGTCCACCGGTTTTTGTTTACCTCTGCTGTAGCCAGGTATTGAATTGAAAACTCTTTAGTTCGCACCATTGTATTACTTAAAGCAAAGTTTATATCCACTGGGCCGTTGTTTAATTGAAACCTTTCTTACACTCGGATTTCATGTGGTATTTATGAGTTTTAACCAATTTTCTGATACCACTCTGGCAACAATATCTCCACATATTATCATCCAGAGCAACTCGCACGAATTCAGTATGAGGCACAGTGACAGCTGAGAGGTCGCTATTTCGTTTGTCTTTATACCTGGATATCCTGAGTAGAGCATTAAACTGCATCCTGTAATCTTAGCGGGGGTTCAGAATACGCTGACTGAACTTCAGCAAGTGGCAGAAATCCATCAACGAGGCCACCTGTTTGCCGTGATGTCCGAGGATGGGATTTTGGTAGTTCATAACCCGGGTAAGCCCGGTCATCGGAATTGCAAAATCTCAATTTGGCCTTTACAAGGTCTAGACGGGAGGTGGGAAAGACCTGATCCGACCAAGTGGATGGTCACGACATGACTTAGCAACACGTTAATCCCAACCGTATTATTCAAATTGATCGGTCTTCGATCCAAAGTTTGATCACTGCTTCATGTTTCAATTGTTTTTAGGTATTAATCTGAAACTGGCAGAGACTCAAAACAGTACACGGTACGAGTATACTCTCTGTGTATGCCCGTGGGTGGTGGAACACAGAACCATTGAACAGTTTTAATTAAATTATGTAAAGGAACCGCCCCACAAAAAAAAAAAAAAACTCGAAAGAAACCTCTCCGATTCTGAGTCTAAATCAGAAGCTACATCTGAATTCCCAAAATTCATTATAATTTAATCTCGAGCCGAAAAGCAACTAGACCAACTTACCCCTTTTTGATAGGAATGGTAATTTCTAGTTGGTCAGAACCTGAAAATCTGAAAAAAAAAACTCAAATGTAAACCTACTAGAAGCTAAAAAAAAAAAAAAAAATGCGGAGAATTTACTGACAGTTAAATTTCATAACTTGAATTGTAACACTTATCCACAGGAAAAATTAAATATATCGAAAGGCGTTATAAGAAGTCGATATCTTTCACTAGCAACACCAGAAGAAATGGCGACCAGGTTGCGAATTCAGTGAGTAAAGTAATACAAAAAAATATGTATTAGTAGAAATGATGAAATAATAGAAACAAATACATATATCTTGACATTTTTATGAGCCGACAATACCAAAGCAAATCGGAATTGGATACACTATAGAAAAGGTAGAAAATTACATAACAAACCTCTTGCGATACTTTAAATCCCAGGAATTTGGGGATTTGCAGGGAGCACCAAGTGTAGGGGAAGTTTGGTAATTGCGAACCAAACAATACAAAGAACGACTGCAGAATAATTTAATGCGAAAACTGCCATGAAGAACACATTGCTTATCCAAAACCTGTGATACCTTCGAAAAAGAAATCATGTACGTAATATACATCAAAAATATATCTTTCCCCGAAGCAACATAAATTGTGGAAACGTATATGGGAACCAAAACATATGCCAGCGTAATACACAAGACAAAGAAAACAATTCAAGACAGCACTGATAAATACCAAAACAACTATTGAAAAATTGCTAAACTTAAACTCAAGCGAATAACCAAGATTTCAAGAAAATTTAAAAAAAATGTGTTCAGCAGAAGTAGACCAAACAAAAAACAATCGGATATACAACACATGACAATACGGAAATAATCATAGAAAAATAACTCTAAAACTACAGTACAAACAATTTTTAGCAAAAGAAAGGTGACACAGATGACCAGACTGATACGTGATACTGAAAAATACACAAATATGAATAAAATAAATAAAGATAGAAAACAAAAACCTTTTAAAAGACCTACAGAAACGCACCTCACCTCGATAAACACATCAAACTAACCTGAAGGAGTCAAAGACAGGGAAATTGAAAATAAAATTCCACAAACCAGCAAAATTCAAAATATGGCCCACAGACCACGGAACAAAAAAAAAGACAAACAAAATACACAGACAACAAAATGATCCAGTTAAATATGAGAGGAACAAGGGCCAACTATTGTGAATTCATGCTACGTATTACATACTACTGTCCAGCAGTCATATGCCTTAAAGAAAGTCACCTCAAGGACAACAATACAATTTAGATAAGATATTGGCAATGATATATTAAAAGGCACACTGACAGGACTTGTGGTGGATCACCAGTTTTCATTAAAAATAATATTCCACAGAGTGAAATTAAGCTAAATACAAATATTCAAGTAGACGCCGTGACGGCAACCCTCCATAAAATTGTAACAATGTGTTCATCATAAATACTACCAAATGAAGAACTCAAAGAATAGGAGCTTAGCAAATTAATAGAACTGCCAAACTCTTCATTATATGGGACTTTAACAGACACAATGAGATATGTAGAAGTAAGAAAACTTAAAAAAGCGGAAAATAATAGAATCAATACTGAA